ACGCCCGAGCCCAAACTGTCAGAAACACGTGATAGGGTGGAGGGAGGGGGTGGCAGTAAGGACATCAAACAGTCACTCACAGAGGACTGGCTCTGGAGTCGTTCTACCTGGGTTCAAACCTCAGCTCCATCATCCACTGACTATACAACCTTAACCAAGTCCCTGGTCCTCTCAGAGCCTCCATTTCTTTAGTATCTACATGACTGATTGTCTAGGTCTAAAGGAGGTGGGGGTATGCAGAGTAACTGCTAAGGAGTCTGGCTGGGGTTTCTTTCTGGGGGATGAAAAAGTTCCAAAATTAAGATAGTGGTGATGGTTGCACAACCTTGTGAATACACTAAAAAAAAAAAACCACTGAATTGTACATTTTAAAAAAGGTGAATTTTAAGGTATGTGAATTATATTTCAGTAAAGTGGTTATTAAAAACGGAGAGAAAAAGGAGAAATAGTAACAGCACTGGCAATATGGGTTGTAAGGCTGGCACAGGGTAAGTGCTCAGTAAGGGGCCACTGTTAATATGGGGCCCGGACTGGTGTCTGTGAGCACATACTGTGGGTGCTTACAAATGTTTCCATGGGTCCCTGGCTGGGGCCAGCAGGTTGTCAAGTGCCTGAGCTGCCCCTGGGGGTTTGGTGGGGGCTCCTGGGCAGCTGTTCCCTGGCAGGGGTGGGAGAGTGCATGGCCTCCTCCTGCCTCCCACTGGTCTCTGGAGAGGAGGCTGCCCATCGTGGCAGGCAGACTTCAGGGCTGCACACTTGCCTGTCTTGCAGACACTCATATTCTCCATGTGCAGCAGACCGTGAATTCACCTTCATACTAGTTACAGGGTTATTTAGCTTCTCCTGACACTGACAATCACAAACTTTAATTCGCTGCTTGGCTTCTCCCTGCTGTGCCCTCTGCCCACCCCCAAAATCCTTGGGAGAGGATGGGAAGGACTGAGGTCCAGCCCTCTCTTGCCAGAGCATGCCCTTTGGAGTGATGGAGTGATGGAAGGAGGTGGGGGTGGTCGGCAGGAGAAGATGATAGGCAAAGGGCTGGGGAGAGAACAGAGTGGGAGAGAGGAAGTACCACTAGGGCTAATGGGACCTTCCGTCGTGCTCCTCCAGCCTGACACTAATGTATTCAACCTGACATCCCATCCTGTCCTGAGTGACGCCTCAGTCCATCAGGCTGCTATGCTGAGGGCCTGACCAAGACTGATAGAGGCTAGGACTCGGCCTGGGGCTGAGCTCCCAAGACCAGGCAACTGGCATGGGGCTGGCTCTTCTGCCTACTGCTGGACTAGTGGGTGCCCATCTAGGAACCCAAGGGAGCCCAGTCCTACCAACTCATTTCCCCCATCTCCTTCGCCAATCTCCCATCAGGCCAGCTGGGCTTGCCCTGCAGAGGCTTCTCCTGGCTTACTGTCCTTTTGCTGGTGTCACATTTCTACCTCTGGTGAAGGCAGATGGACCTGCTCAAAGCTACTGCCAAATATCAGATGGGAATTATAACCCTGAGACATCTCCCACTAACCACCCAAATCATACTAGCATGGGAGACAGGGCTGAAACTAGACCTGTGTCTTCACCCACAGGGAGAAGCTGATGCTGCCTGGCTCATCCACAGCCTGCCCTGGCAGCATTCTCTCTCTCTTCCCTTGGCTCTAGAAGACCTCCCTCTTGTCTCTCCTGTGCTCCCACACCCTTTCCAGGAGTGGCCTAACTTCCAGAAGATCCACAGAGCCCTTTCATTGGCTCAGAGGTCAGTCCAGACCAGAGATCTCTCCTCTCAGCCACCCTTCACCTCTTGCAGTGGTACCATCATTTTTCTCCCAAGTCTCCAGGCAAGTGAAAGAGGGAGAGTTTGCTCTCAGAACCATCTGGGCGAAACTCTGTCATTCACAAACTCCAAGCTGGCCCCACCGGCCAGTCATTAGGCAGAGAATCCCAGGAGCAGAAAGCCAAGCCAAGAGGACTCACAAAGACCAGAGGCCTGGCTAGGAACTGGGCCAGGGAGCTTGGAAAAGGAGATGCAGGGCGAGAGACAGGGCCAGGGAGAGAGGAGAGGCAGGGAAATGCATCAACGGGTCCACTTCCTCCCACTTCCATTTCACTGCCCCACCCCTGCCAGCTAGGGAAGTGGCCAGGGTGGCCTGGGCAAGAGAGATGTCAACGGGGCCGATGGGAGAAGGGGCTTGTTGACTGCAAACTGTCCATTATGGCTCAGATTATAAGCATCTTGCACAGGGCTCTCTGCACGATGCCGGGGAAATCCAATACGCTGAAAGGTTAATGCAATCAATTAGGGTGACAAGGAAGTAAAGTAAAGCCTTCCGAGTAGATGAAAAGGAGAGAGAGAGGGGGAGAAGGAGAGAGAGAGCGAGCCATGGGTTGCGGGGGGGTGGCATGAGTGGTGGGGAAGACGAGGAGGGAGAGAAATTAGTGGAGGGAGAGAAGGCCTGGAGGGGAGGAGAGATGTACAGAGGCCAGGCGCCCAGGCAGAGTCAGCAAGAGAGCACGGCCAGTGAGCTGGGTGGTGCAGCTTCCATCCCAGACTGCTGGTCATGCAAAGCTCCCTTTTCTTCACCCTTCCCCATCAGCCTTTCCTCCAGGGCTTCAAACCTTCTCTCAGGTTAGCACACTGTCATGGTGCTACAGAAGGGGACCCTGGACAGCACAGGTGCCCACTGAGTGACCTGAGCACCCATACCCCCAGGGACCCAACTCTTCCCTAGGCCTGCTTCTCCCCCACACCCCAGGCTCTCCTCCCACAGCCTGCAGAGCATGGTGGTCAGGACCCTGGTTTTACAGATGGGGAAGTTGGCACTCAGAGAGGTTGGGCTACTTCTCAGGACCCAGCAACAGAAGTAGGCGGCCCAGGCTCTGGCAGGGAGTTAGGACCCTGTGTTATTCCTACATGTCGGGTCCTGTGCTGTCCACTTCCAGTCACAACTCAATCACTTGTCCCAACAGCCCTGGAAAGTAGACCTTTTTCTCACCTTGCAAAAGAGGAAACTGCAGATTTGAGGTTAAAGGGCTTGGTAAAGGTGACAGGAGGGACACACAGGGCTCCTTTTCCCCAGGCTGGGGCAGGAGCTCTGAAGGAGCTGGGGTGGATGAGGGGAGAGACTGAGCAGAGGGTGAGGCCCTAAGGAGAAAAGGGACAGGAACTCCCTATTAGATGAGGGCTGCAAGTAGCCTGCAACAACCCCAGCATGGGACTCCCAAATGCCTGGTTCTGTCAGAGCAATCCCGCTGAAGAAGAGAGCACAGGAAAATGGCCAAAGAACACTGAGTGCACTTAAATCCAGGGAACTAGAATTGCACACTTAAGAAAGAATGGCAAATTTCATGTTAAGTCAATTGAGAGAGAAAGAGAGAGAGAGAGATAGAGAGAGAGAGAGAGAGAGAGAGAGAGAGAGAGAGAGAGAGAGAGAGAGAGAGAGAGCAAGAGCCAGAAACTTCAGGGCCAGAAAACTTTTTCTGTGAAGAGCCAGATAGTAAATATTTTATGCTTTGTAGACCACACTGATTCTGTTGTTTCCAATAAAACTTTATTTACAAAAACAGGCTGGGGGGCCAAATGTGACCCAGGAGCCGTAGTTTGCCTAGGTCCACTTCAGAATATGGAAGCAGCTAGGGCTGGACTGTTGAGGCTCAGATGCCTGTGCCATCCTGCTGCCTGGGAATGGGGGTTGTCCAATCTGGACCTTTGGGGCAGGCAGAAGTCTCCAAAGGAAGCAAGGCTCTTATGCCGTGCAGAGAGAGGAGAAAAAGAAGGGAAAGAACAAGCCCTGGCATGGAAAGTCAATTTTCAGCTCAGAAGATCCCAGGAAGCCCTTCATGGTGCTTTAGATTCTCGTGGATGATAGGAAGGGGTGGAGGCTCATAGCTCTTACAATTCTAGATTCTAGATTCTCGATAGCAGAGAGAGAGGCTGAGGTTAGAGAACAGGAAGCAGTGGCCAGAATGGAGCAAGAAGGGGCCAAGAGAGAAAGGCAAGAAAGGACCGGGAGCGGCGCTGTAACCAGGGTGGTGCTGGCGGCAAAGGGAGGAATCCATGGGCCCCAGCAAGAGTGCAGGGCGCAGGCCGGGCCTGCCCTACACCGGGCCGCCTCTGATCACGTTTTCAGGGCCACTGCCCGCCAGCACAGACAATGCTAGGGGAGCCTTTGAAGTCCAAAAGGGATGCCGCGATGGGAGCCGGGGGACTCTCCTCCCTTCTTGGCCCTCCCTAGGGGGAGGAGGCCAACAAGACAAAACCCAGAGTCGGTTGCAGCCGGGACCCCCGAAATGCGAGAGACAAAGGGAAAACAAACAGGTTTGGAGCCAAGCGCACGGTGCCGTGTCTGTCCCTCGCTCCGCGGAGCCTGGATGATGGATGGCTGCAGCCAGCCAGCTCGCCTGCCGGGCCGGCCCCACTATTTACATAACACTGGCGTTCCACCGGTCACCTCTGACACGACACTGCCTGGGGCCGAGGCTTGGTGGCCCCACCATTCCTCGAGCCACCACGGGGACTGTGACAGCCTGTGAAGGCCAGGACAGCTCCGTGTCCCAGCCTCCTCCCTGCCAGCTCTTAAGGAGAAAGGAGAAGGCCACTTGGGCAGGCAACAGCTTCAGAGGGGAGAAGGCAGAACTGGATTTGTAGGACTTGAAACCTATTGGGTTCTTCCCAGGCAGGGGATGGGCCTATAGGCTGCCAAAGCCCAGGAACCTCAGTGGTTCCCGCTGCCTGTGCTGTCTGGACCACGTTTCTTGCCCCACATCTACAATCCACATGTCTCCAGCAGTGCATTTCCAGCCTAAGAGTCAAACAGGGCAGCTCCTGCTGGGTCCATCATTTTCTAACAGGTTCCAATGAGGCAGCGGGCCTCCCATTCCCTGGCTCAACCTTCCCATCCATCCAGGGTGCTCAGCAGAACTGAAGCCAGCCCAGGGTGACATGTATCAGATCAGTGGTCACCATAAAGGAAGAAGACACAGGATGGGGGTGGGGTGGGCTCAGGCCTTACCTCTTAGCAGGTCCTATAGGTGTCTCAAATGCAGCTGGAGAGTCACTTCATCCTGGGGAGAGAGAGGAGTCTGTTAGCCTTTCCAGGAGGAAGCCCACCACCATGCCCCTGTGTGCCCCTGGGCTTCCTGCCACTTATGGGCTAAGGGGTTGGTGCTTCAGGGCCAGCCCTGGATTTAGATATGCTAAAAAAATCAGAGTAGGCTCTGATTTTGGCCTATTTAAGCACATGGCAACCAAAGTTTGAAAATTCAGAAAGCAGCAGGGACTGAATGCAAGGGAAGTATGAATCTCAGGAGTCCCCTAACCAAGTCAAGTCAGACTGTGCTTTGTGTGCACTCCCTCATGGAGACCAAAGTAGGAGTTGGGGCTTGGGGAACACTGGTTATGGGCCTCTCCTGTGAGCTGCTTCAATAGCTGACCAAGAATGTCTGGGGACAATGACAGAATATACCACCAAACACTCTCTTTTCTTTTGGCTCCTGAAAATAAAAAAGATAGATGTCAAGCTGTTCCCCATAGCAAGCGTGTGTCTAAGGGGCAAGGGTGGACCAGGGCCAGGCACCAAGAATCCCCAACTCCACAGGAACAGTCTGTGGACAGCACCTTCCACTTGGGATCACAGCAACCCCCACTGGGGGTCCTTGTAAGACGAGACAAACATCACAACAATGTGGAGGCCCTATGACCAACATACAACTCTGCAGAGCTTGCAGGCTCACGCCCTCAGCCCAGAGCAGGAGTTCAGAGAACCAAGTTCAAATGGAACAGACTCTGTGTCAAAGAAAGATGCAAGGAACCCTGTGCCTGCCCACTTGGCCCCAGTGGCCCTTGCCTGGGCCAGGCCCTGCACTCCAGCCTCAGCACTGGCCCACTCAGTGAGGGTTTGCTCTTCATTCTGTTTTCTTCCCTCTCCCTCATTTGTGGCTTATCAATGATGCAAGAGGAATAACACCAATTTCCTTAGGCCATGTAATCCCCAAATCAGATTGGGGGGATTGTGGGAGATGAGGTGACCTTGCACAGGGCTCCCGGAATGCCACCCAGTCCCACCGCCTGCTCTCCCGTTCCCAGGACATATTTAGACAGATAATGCTAATTGTACTTGACATGCCCTCTTAAGGAGGGCTCCGTTCTCCGCCAGCGTTTGTCGCCCGTGCTGGGCCACTGGGGCAGACGGTGCCTACTGGGGCAGAGCCTACTCTGCCAGATACTCTGAGAGGGACAATGGTCTTGTGGGCATTGAGTGGTTGAGGAGGGCTACCACCCATCAAGCTGGTCCAGAGAGCTGGGGGTTGGCAGAGAGCTGGGTGGACAACTGAGATAGGGGGCAGTAGAGAGAAAGGGGTGGGGAGCCATACAGAGGTGAAAGTGGCAGGCAGAGTGGAAAAGGGACAGTGGGAGAGCAGAGGTGAGCTGGGTGAAGTGGAGGGACTGTGAGCTAAGCCTTGGGGCCAAGTATGGAGACCCTGAGCGTCCTCTGGGAGGTGCTGGGAGGGCTCAGGTGGCACAGCTCATGCTCTGGCCAGTCAGTCCTGAACCCTGGCAGTGGTATCATCAATGTCCTGTCCATTCCAAGCTCTCCTGCCTGAGATCTGGAAAGGCACCTCGGCCAGCCTCCCTTGAACCCCCAAAGCCCCCCAACTCCACAACTCCAGTATCTCTCTTCCACCACCTTTTTCTCCCCTCCCATCCTCCCTGGCAACTGTGCATTTATTAATTCATGAGGCACTAATTAGTTCTTTGTTTAATTTTGTGTTAAACAGACTGACCGGAATGATAACGACTTGCAGTGCAGTGTTGCTGTCCCCAACCACCCCTGTTTTCTGACAACAAGGGAGCGCAAGAGACCGGAGCGCTGAACCCAAATCCCTCAGCAGTTGCACTTCATTAAGTCAAAATGTGACAAGAAGCTTAGAGAGCAACTTGCAGATCTGATCACACAGAACTATCAGGAAGAAACTTTCTAGGAGTTGGTCTGGGCTGGAGGAGGGGAGGGGAGGGGTAGAGATGCATAGGTACGGGTCCTGTCCTTCACCTGGCTGAGGCAGGTAGCCTGGCAGGACAGCAGCAGAGACACTATCTTTTGGTGAGATCTGGGACATTAGGTGTATTCTAGGTCCCAGTGCAGACTTTAGAAGTACCCAGCAGTTCATCTTCATTTCTCTTTTCTTGTCTGGGCATCTTCTGTCTCGGCCCTTCCCTGTGCCTGATGTCTGGTTCTGGCACTGTGAGAGAGTGGTCAGCACACCCAGGGACTGGTAGAGAATGAGAAAGCTGACGCAGTTACGGAGGGGTTCTGCAAGGCCAAGCAGAGGTACAGCAGGCTAGGAAAACCCAGAGTGGAGGCCCTACCCTCAGGAAGGCTGAGGCTAAGCACAGTCTTTCCAGACTAAGAAAGAGAAGGAATGTACTCAGGGATCAGGATGGGAAGTGTGCAAGAGATGCCTCTGTGCCCATTCTGCCAGCGGTCAACCCATCATCCATGCAAATATCCATCCATCCACCCAAGGTTTTAATCCTAATTACTCTGGTCAGATACCCGAGGATGGGAAGGTTGAGGGCTTGGTGCAGAGTAGTATGGCAAGCCAGAAGCAGAGCTGGGTCCTAAGCTTGCTGTGGTGGCTGACTGTTGGCAGGCAGAGTTCACAATGACAACAGCCTTGTGGCCGCTTTCCTCCTATCCATGTGAAAGAGCCAGATCTTGGCCTCAGAAGGGTCAAGCTGCCAACCCCATCAGCCATGGCACAGACGAGGACAGTTGTATCAAAAGCAGCAGCCCTGTCCACCTCTGTCTGACCCTAATCTCTGACAAGAGCGCAAAGGAGATGTGAGGAGAATAAAACAAAACACATCAAAAGTTGACAAACAGAGCCCTCCTTGTGGGAAGTGCCTGTGGCCTTCTTCCTCGTTGGTTGATGCACCTGTCCAGGTGAGGCCTGACCTCAGTAGAACACACTCAGCCTACTGGTCAGAAAGTGAGTCTTTGCATAAGCCCTGCCCTCCCTTCCCTGGCCAGGAGTGAAGTACAGTGGTCTCCCACCCGAGCCTGGCAGCCTTGGGCTGGCTTCTGTTAATTTGCTGTCAGGCTGCCTAAGCAAACCAATTAAAACTAATCATTAATTATAAAAGAGAGCGAGAAGAGTAGGAGAGAGGAGAGGGTGAAAGACAGGGACGGGAAGGAGAAAGAGGAAACTGGGCTAAGAGGGAAGACCCTGAGGGTCTGCAGGGAGCTCTGATCGGGGGGCCATGGACCTGTAGGCACCAGAGGTCTTGAAGAAGGAGTGGGCCAGGAAGGAAGTCAAGGATAGTGGCCACCATGGGTAAGGGGGTGGAGGGAAAGGCCAAGAAAGGAGGGAAGAAGAGAGTGAAGGGTGAAGAGCACAGGGGTCAGCACACCAGGACCCAAAGATATCTCATACACAGTTCCCCTGGCAGAAGCCAATGCCTATCCAGGACCCAGCTTTGTAGCCTCTTACCCACAGCCACCCAGTTCCATATGCATGAGGCTCTGCTGATTATGCAGCAGAGGCTGGCCTCCTGTCTGATGCTCCTACCTGTTCCCAACCCTCTCGGGCCATGGAAGCTCAGGACAGCTGCCAGGCCTCCCGGCAACCCCCCCGCTCCAACTGCCACCCGCCGAAGTGCTGCCCCAGCCTACCTCCCCATCCTCACATACCCTATTCCTGGCTAGGCCTTTCATAGTGGCTGGAGCCATGTCAGCCTGGCAGCTTGAGGAGGGGGCCAGCACAGACAACAAGGGGCAGCGTCATGGAAACGGGCACTTTCTGGGAGAAATATTCTGTTTGGCCTCCTTCCTGCATTGAGGAGCTGTCAGGAGCCTGAGTGAGAGTCACACTATCCCGGGACCAGGCGTGACAAAACCTATTTTCTGCCTCAAATTTGATTGATTAAAAAACTTTTTAGGAAAACCATGTTAAAAGAGTGAAAAAAAAAAAAAAAGAAAGACAGTGTATGAGGAGAGAGAGGGAGGGAGAAATAGAGGGGCAAAGAAAGAAAGAATAGAAAGTGCTACAGGGGAGGAGGGCTGGGGAGAGAAAGGCCAACGGCAGGAGCCAAGCAGTGTCTCCCCACCCCCCCACCTCCCGCCATACTGCCAAGGGATGCGTGTCAGTGGGACATCCACAGCGTAACCAGGCAAAACAGAAAGGTCAAAGGAAGCCCAAAACTTTTACATAGTGGTTAGCAGGACGAGGGGACTGAGTCCAGCAGGTGCCGGATCTGGACAGATGCAGCCGACAGTGTGCCGTCTGTCCCAGCACAGGGGAAGGAGCCCCAGACCTTCAGATAGAGAGGGGCAGGTGGTATGGCTGTTTAGCACCAAGAGTTGGGCAGGCTTTTGGACTGGCTTTGTGGTTTTCTCAGCATTTGTACAGAATTCTGAGAAGTCTGTATAGGGTCAAACCTTGTGGTTTGGGGTCAGGTGGATTGCACAACTTGTTCTTTCAGACCTTGGTTTAATAATGTTTTTGTTGTATTTATTTATTATTTTGTGGGATTAGGATTTGAACTCAGGGCTTTGTGATTACAAAGCAGGCCCTTTACTGCTTGAGTCACACCTCCAGTCCATTTTGCTGTAGTTATTTTGGAGATGGGGTTTTGTGATCTATTTGCTTGGGCTGGCTTTGAACCACGATCCTCCTGATCTCAGCCTCCCAAGTAGCTAGGATTACAGGTGTGAGCCACCAGCACCCAGCTTAAAAAAAAAAAGTTTCTAATAAGAATAATAAAATAAAAAAGCAAGGGGTCACTCAGCTTGATCTCTCTGTCCTACAGCTGGCAAAGCCTTTGCTGGCCAGAGCCAGTGTTGGGACCTCTCACTCACCCTGCCTATCTTGGGCCTTCTCCCCTCAAGCCAGTAAATCCTTTGTGGGGGCTGCCCTAAGTGGCTCTCATGTCTGGCCAGGGACTTGAAGGGTGATGGGTGCCCACCTCACTTTCTCAGGGTCCCAATAAGAGCCTGCCTCCCCATCTCCCCCTGGGACCTCCCTGGAGAAAGAGTATCATCTCCCAGTGGCCTGGGAAGGGCTCA